CTAGTAGGAAGGGCACCATTCACTTTATTTTTTTACTCACAGCCTGTAACAGTGCAATAATATATATGTATGAATGGAATCCACTCCCAATGGCAGAGAATATAATAAAACCCTATCTTCATGAATGGTGCCGCAGGCCAGGCTATTACATTGGGGCCTATAATAAGGCAGGGAGATTTATCTGGCTTAGGCCAACCATTTCTACACTCGGCAGGGGGGGAATTTACGCGCCATCACGTGAGTCTTTTTTTTCTTGCAGTTCCCATGCTTTGCTCTCTTTTTAGCAATGGCTAGGAATGTGATATTACATTTCAGTTTTTTTCCCCTCATGAACACAACATATAATGGCAATATTATAGTTATGGCAAATTTCCCATCTTTGGTGCAGGTGGTCCCTCTGTGATCCTTTGTTAATCTCCCCCATTGCCTCTTACTTCACACTGCAGCTTTATGCTGGCTGATCATTCATATGCTGTTTTCTGTGGGGCCGCAATCTGCCCACTTTCTGCTATTTAGCAGCACTTACCGTTCCCTGTTTTTTTATTCCTTTTTTTCTGTTTGCTCCGCAGATTTTTTTTTTGTTTCTTTTTTTTTTTCAAAAGGAGGTTTTCTAGTTTGAGTGCCTCTACCCATCAACTGAATATATGCAGAGTGTATATATATATATATATATATATATATATATATATACACTGCTCAAAAAAAATGAAAGGAACACTTTGAAAACACATCAGATCTCAATGTGGAAAAATCTCCTGCTGGATCTCCATACTGACCTGGACGGGGTAATGTGTTAGGAATGTAAGGATGCCCCATTGTTTGATGGAAATGAAAATGATCGACCTACAGAGGACTGAATTCAAACACACCCTGAAAATCAAAGTGAAAAAATGATGCAGCAGGCGAGTCCATTTTGCAGCAACTCAAAATGGTCCTCAGTATGAGATAACGGATAGTGTCCTGGGGTATTTCCTCCCAGATCTGGACCAGGGCATCACTGAGCTCCTGGACAGTCTGAGGTCCAACCTGGCGGAGTTGGATGGACCGAAACACGATATCCTAGAGGTGTTCTATTGGATTTAGGTCAGGAGAGCGTGGGGCACGTTGAGGGCATGTAACCTGGTATGGTTCAGGAATGGGAGTGCTCGTTTGTCCACTTTTTTAAAATATATATTTTTTAAATATATTCTTCAGATTTTTTTTTACATATAAAAAATTCATTTTAATATATATGTTTACATATATTTGTAAATGTATTCCAAAAATGCAGACTTGTATATTTAAAGACATACAGTATACTTGAAATTTATTTTTAAAAATATCTTTCATATGTTTTGTAATAAAAATGCATTTCAACATGTAGTATATATATATATATATATATATATATATATATATATATACTGTATATATATATATATTTACTGAAATATATTGAATATGGCCAAAATTGTAGCATTTCAAATGTATGGAAATATATTTGGGAAGAATATTTTTTAAATATATTTCAAATATATTTTTCTTCCATGTGGGAGAGTAGACGGTGTTTGCTCTATATATGGTGATTATTTTTTGGCATTAATATGTGATATATATTGTTATCATTTCTGTCTAGTCATGTCTTTAAAATATATGTGTGGATCCTGAGTATGCAACTGTACTACGAAAAACGTTGATCCCTCACACTGTTTTTGTATTTATACTTACATACTACATGTGTAATACTAACGACATGGCAATTGTACTTTGACACACATTTTATTATTTGTTAACTATTGTAATAAAGGTTTTGTATTTTAACAGTTTGGCATTATATATATAATATATATATGATATGAAAATATATAATTATATATTTAAAGTCACATTAGATTTGATTATTTCCATTTGATTTTAGAAATATTTTTCTTTTTACTCCTCCCCTGGCAGCTACATAAATTGTTCTGTAAAGAGAACAGGTTTTTTAAGCGCAAGGACTGTGCTATGGAAATTGAATTTTCTAAAAAAGATTTGATAGCAAGTTCAGCGACACATTACAAGTCAATTAAAAAATGTTTTAAAATTGATGACAGGGTCTCTTTAAAGCAAGGCTGTAGGAGTGGGAAGTTCTGAATAAATAATAGGGGGGGGGGGGGGGGGGTTGACGGACCACCTGTCACTCTGCTTAATTGCCTCCTTCAGCCTGGGTTCACATATATGCGGAGCGGTATATCGCATGTGATTCGCACAGGAACTGCACTGCATTCCTGTGCAAACCACATGCGATTTGTGTGCGGTGCAATTGGAGCCATACATTTTGTATGGCTCTAATCGCACCGCACCCGCAACACAAAAACATGCAGGACCCTTTTTTGGTCTGCACTTGAATCAAATCACATTGGTATTCACACTTTTCACCGTGTTTGCGGACCGCTTTCGGGGTTTTGTTAACATACACACCCTCAGCGGTTCACATGAACGGGGTGTGATTCTGATGCGGTGCGCACTGAAAACGCTACAAATTCCACACCGCATCAGTGTGAACCAGGGCTCAGAGAACTGTTTCCTCACCGCTGGGACACAGGAACAAAGTTTTACAGCTGGGCATTGCACCCAAGACTAGATGACACTAGCTTAGGTGCAAACTGGAACTGTTTATTGAACAGAAATACAGGTTTTTTAATACACTTCAGAAACAGGGGCAGTCCCCACATGAACAATAAAAAAACGAACATTACACATTGGGATAAACATCCCACACTGATTAGGTAACGAAGCCAAGTTGACACCAGGCTAATCCCATCATGTAGGAATCTCCAGGAGGACTAGCCAACAGACAACAGTGATCTAATTAACAGTAAGCTAATCAACAGCCAGTCACCCACGCCAGCCAGGAGCCCACCCCAGACAGCCCGGAACCTCCAACCATGAATACACATTACACATGGGGGTTTATTTACTAAAGCTGGAGAGTCCAAAATCAGACTCCCTTCTGCATAGAAATCAATCAGCTTCTAACCTCAGCTTGTTCAATGAAGCTTTGGCAATGAAACCTGGAAGCTGATTGGTTTCTATGCAGAAAGGAGTCTGATTTTGGACTCTCCAGCTTTAGTAAATAAACCCCATGCTGTCTTTCAGGTGCCTGGCCCCTACCTGTGCAATCTGTCCAAAACTCATACAATATTCCATCAGTCTAAAAAAGTGGAATTCATTTATCTTCATAGATTTCTTGAGGGATATTGTTGATAAATATTTCTGTCCCAAGTAAAGGAGCTTCTCCCACCCAGTCCGCAGGAGGGCCACCATATTTCCTCTGACCATTATAAGACCTCTGAACTGTATAGGATTAATATTGCACCTTTCCATCCACTCCAGAAGGGAAGCTGTATTGTCTTTATTCTGAGAATGAATCCAAGCCTCGCTCTCAGCATTCATCACGTTATGATCCATCATCACAGACTGATCCGCTCTCTCCGTGTGATCAGAGGCTGAACTGAGCTCTTTTCCATACTCTGACCGGGAGAAGCAGACAAAATCCCTGTTCTCCTCCATGGGCCATAATCAGTGGGTAGAAGGCTAGCCCCTAGTCCTCTCCAAAAGCCCCTGTCCTGGTTGGGTCCCTCACAGGCGTTCCTCAGATTCTGCCATAATATGAATACAACAGATGAAACTAATTGAGGAGTTTTCCTCCATCTCAGCGGCCTTTCCTCCTGTCGAGATTTCTATTATCTCAAATTTCGAAGCCATAAATTTCAGTCTTCGGGCTCCCTTATCTGATTGATTTATATAAATCAGGTCGAAATAAATCTTACTACGTTTTTAGATGCGCCACTTAAAATGAGAACACGTTGAATGCATTTGGCTAATTGATGCTGCGCATTTTATTTTCTTAACCATGTGGCATTCACGGGAAATTCTCTCATTTAATTAATCGTAATAAACTTGCAAAAACCATTTAAAATTCATGGAGTTAAAAAATATATATATTCATGAGCAGCAGATGCAGCTGGAATAAAGCATCTTTCATGCGGAGATTCATGGCTGTACGCATATTATTCGCTTAAATGCGGTTTATGTCATTTGGAAATCCCTTTTAATTACGGCTTGTTGGAAATTAGATGCGACATCACTCAGTGGTTGTGTACAGTAATTAAGACACATAATTGTCTGTTAGATGTCACTGGTGCTTATATCAACCGAGTAAAAGTTAAAGAAAAAATCGTTTTGGGGGACTGGGGTAGTTTTTCCATACTGCCCACTACTGATGGTATTAACCGCTTGCCGCCTGCCTGCAGTACAGTACGTCTACTGTAGGCTTGCCGCCTGCCTGCAGTACGTCTACTGCAGGCGGCAGTTACAGGCTAGGCGATGTATCTGTACGTCGTCGCTTGTTTCCAAATTTTCAGATGTGTGTATGCTTCCCCCCCTTGCTGACCCGTGCTGTGATTGGACACAGCACGAGTTTCTCAGCAGGTTTCAACCAATGATTTTGGTTATATACCTACTGACCAATCACAGCACAGATTTCTGTGTGTACAAACACACAGAACAGACAGCGATCTGGCTGTTTCTTTCTCCCTGAAATCAAATCTGAGTTCAGGGAGAAAAAGCAGTCAGATCTGTGAGTAAAGGCAGCACATATTACACTTGTTAGGCACTCAGTTTATTTATTTATTATAGGTAATTATATAGCACCATCAATTTATGCAGTGCTTTATGTATATATTGTATGTTCACATCAGTCCCTAACCCTCAAGGGGTGTACAATCTAAGGTCCCTAACTCACATTCATACATACACATACTAGGGATAATTTAGATAGGATACAATTAACTTACCAGCATGTCTTTGGAGTGTGGGAGGAAACAAGAGTACCCAGAGTAAACCCACGCAGGCCCAGGGAGAACATGCAAACTCCAGGCAGGTGGTGCCGTGGTTGGGATTTGAACCAACGACCCTAGTGCTGCCAGGCAGAAGTGCTAACCATTTAGCCACTGCGCTGTCCCACAATATTCAATCACCAGGGGCGAACCTGACAACTCATGGGGCCCCCGGGCAATAGGGGATCATGGGGCCCCTGTGTCCTTGCCCAAACTCAAAAAAGCCTATGAAAATGGTACCAGGGGCATCTCATGGGGCCCCCTACTGACCCCGGGCCCTCGGGCAGTGCCCGAATTTCCAAATGGTCAGTCCGCCCCTGAGTGTCACTAATGACATCAGAGTCAGTTAATGTCCCTCCCAACCAGTGTCTATTAGTGCCAGATTGCCCACCACACTATCACAGTCACACTATACTGTAAGTCACTGATCAATTTCTTAAGTCTTAATGTGACAGGGGTGCAGATGAGTGACCCCAAACACACAGTAGGGATGCTCACCTGAACCTGCATGCCTGTCACTCCTAACAGTAGTGTCCGTGAAGCAGCAGCATCCTAATAGACTTCAATGGGCTGGCTGCACTTAAGACCTGGAAGTTGAGATGCTGCAAACAATGGCCCGTTCATGCTATATAGGCATCCTTGCCCATGTGAATGGGGCCTTATATCTTTGCCTTGAATTTATATTCCTGGTTCTTACCTTGTTCTTGCCTTATTACATTTGCTGGTATCTAAAATGTGCCCGTTTTAAACTAATGAAACCATCAAACTACTCATTCACTCTCTTATTATCTCTCGCTCAGGGGTGGACTGATAACTCATGTGGCCCCCGGGCAATAGGGATCATGGGGCCCCTGTGTCCTTGCCCAAACTCAAAAAAGCCTATGAAAAAGGTACCAGGGGCATCTCATGGGGCCCCCTACTGACCCTGGGCCATCGGGCAGTGCCCGAGTTTCCAAATGGTCGGTCCGCCCCTGCTTTCGCCTTGACTATTGCAACTCCCTTCTCATAGGCCTACCTCTCCATAGGTTATCCTCTCTTCAGTCCATCATGAATGCTGCTGCCAGGCTCATCTACCTTTCCAACCGCTCAGTGTCTGCCACCCCTCTCTGCCAATCCCTCCACTGGTCAAAATCAAAAATACTAACAACAACATACAAAGCCATCCACAACTCTGCCCAAAGCTACATCACTAATCTTGTCTCCAAATATCACCCAAATGGTCCTCTCTGCTCCTCTCAAGACCTCCTGCTCTCTGGCTCCCTTGTCTCCTCCTCCCATGCTCATCTCCAGGACTTCATTAGAGCCTCTCCGATCCTCTGGAACTCTCTACCTCAATCTGCCATCTCCCACTCTGGCTACCTTTAGGCAATCCCTGAAAACTCATCTCTTCAGGGAAGCCTATCCTGTCTCCGATTAGCTCATCCCCCACAATTGTTACCTTTTGTACCCCTTGTCCTGCCATATTGCATTGTAAGCTATTATGGGCAGGGCCTTCCTAACCCTCTTGTACTTTATTGTATTTTAACTGTACTGTTTCCCTTTAAGTGCTCAGCAAACTGTTGGTGCTATATAAATCCCGCATGATAATAATAATAATTATAATGCCAATACTGCGTTTTCACTTTTAATGACTGAACTTGTTCTGTTTGCACAAACCTTACCTCCAATTGTCTGTTCTCTGTGTTGGGGGATTTGAAGGGTCTCCCCAGACTCAGGTGAGAGGTGTACCCACTTACTTATCAAAGCCAAGGCTTCCATGGGCACTACAGGAAATGTTTACATTCACTCATCTTTCTTCTTCATAAGATATAAGTGCAAAGTCTAAAATTAAACATACACTTGGCTTGACTTCCTCTATTGTACGCTGGTAATTACAACTTGGAACAGTTCAATATTGCTTTATCTTTTTTTTTACTTTTTCTGTTTTTCTTTGTTGGTATCATAGCAACCAGTGATCGAGTGTATTCCTGTTTACTGATGCAGTGTCTTCCCTACGCGTTTCATCTTTATTAAAGACCCATACACCCGTGTCTCACTCTGCCATTGATTAAACAAAAAAAAAAAAAAAATCATGTATGTTTTCAGCTGAGAGGTACTTCTGTGGTCCTTGGTGGATTTGATCTGTAAGTTATATTTCGAGGGACAGAAGATCTTTTAGTATATATCATTGAAGATTAGACAAAATCTATAACAGATTTGTCTACAAGTATCTTCCTCTGCATGGACCTTGGATTCTTGAAGTGTTGCAGAGAGATGAAAAGTAACAGTATCTTCTGTTTTCAGATGAGCGCAGCAACACGGCTACAGCTATTAGCCAATGACAAGATCCTAAAAAGCCCATTAGTACTTTAGCTTCGAAAAATGTGGGCTTCCTTATGTTCATAATTGGTCTGGGTTAGTGGTTCAGAAAGTATGTTACCTGGGGGTTTTGTATTGTGCAGAAGGGGATGTTAACAACATCAGCTTCTATACTTTCCAATTAAAGGTTTAAAGCAGAACTAAAGAAGAAAATGCCACATATAAAACAAAATATAAAGATAAAATAGCTTTTGCTTCAATATGTGTTCAGTTTCAGTCTAGCTATTTACTCTTCTACCCCTCGCAGTACTTTTTTTCTGCCACTAGAGGTCCTCATTCTAATGACCAGCCACAGCCTTTGACTGGACAGTGACAGGAGAAGCAGCACAGTGATGAGTTCATCCCTCTGTCACTCTGCTCTCTCCTCCTATCAGAATGCATCTTGTCAGTAACAAAGTGAAACCTTGCAAGCAACCCAAGTGCAAAAAAATCCTACACCTTCTATATGCTAAATGTTACCTTATCCATCTCCTCAAAGTAAAAGCTGCCCACACCTACACATACTCATATAAATGTGCTCTATGCAAAATATAAAACAAAATGGTGCCGCGCTTTCCTTACAATTCAAACATTTCCTACTATAATGCAATCTCACGTGTGAAAAGACCTCATACAATAGACATACAGGTAGGCTCAGAGCAAAAAAAAAAAAAAATAGGCCCAGGGTCAACATGAATAGAGGGAATAGAGGGACAACAGAGGGTTAAATTATGGGAAGGAAGTTTTGGGCATTAAGGCTTATCTTCTAGGATGGGGAATGTTGGGGAAGGTCTCCCAGGGAGGAAAAGGAGGGTCTGTCCTCAAGAAGTCCAGTGGGGGAAGTTTGGAAGTAGACAAAGCTTCCCACCCTCCCTCCCCTTTGTGCTTTGGTTTGGATTGTCAACGTGGCCTTGGCGGTGGTTGGTCTTTGGAGGAGGAAAGAATTCTGTATGGAGACAGATTCGGGACCCATCAGTGGTATGGGGCCCTCGGTACATTCCAGTTAACGACGGGTTAACTCAGAATAGGTAAAATGGTGGTCACTATGGATAAGTAGGGTTGTCCCCCGAGCCAGTGGGTGGGTTGCGGCTGGGGATAAGTAGGATTGTCCCCGAGCCGGTGGGGGCCTAAGTTGAAGGAATGTTTTTGCAAAAGTGAAGTTGGGTTTATGGCCCTCAAATGACCACCACGTTTCCCTCTGTTTATAATTTGGAATGTTATGTTAAAATAACTTATTGGTTAATAAAAGGCTGCTATAGCCATTTTGACTCCAAAAACTTGTTTGTGTACTTTGTATAGCAGGGATGGTGGAGGGTATGGCCTAGCAGGCCTGGTTAGGTTGGAAGCAGGGGCGGACTGACAACTCATGGGGCCCCCGGGCAATAGGGGATCATGGGGCCCCTGTGTCCTTGCCCAAACTCAAAAAAGCCTATGAAAAAGGTACCAGGGGCATCTTATGGGGCCCCTACTGACCCCGGGCCCTTGGGCAGTGCCCCAGTTTCCAAATGGTCAGTCCGCCCCTGGTTGAAAGGCATATATTCTACCCTTGGCATGAATAAACAAATATAATCAATCATGTCACATATATTCAATCAGTTCTATGTGGTTTTCCTTCACATGTGTATGATCAACCACCATCAATGAAATATTCAATTCAATACATTCAGTGTCTTCTTATTCTTAAAATCTCGCTGAAGTAGTTTTTGCCCAGTACTTGGAAAGGTTTGTCCAATGCCCAGGGCAAGCATGCGCAATTGCGCCCCCTTTTTCTGCTTCTAATGAATGCTGTAGAATGTGTGTACCATCCTACACACATTCTGTGCTCCCTTGTTCTGGCTGTCCATGGCTGACATGCGTGGAATAATTGCTTGCTTTCTAGCAGTTAGAAGGTAGTTGCGCATGTACAGTGGGTTTTTGTGCCAGGTGTGAGCAGGCATCTTGGAGTGCAGTGTGACAAGGGCTGCTGTTAAAAACCACAGGGACCCCTACAGCCAACCTGACAGCCCCCCCCCCAAAAAAAACCCCACAGTTTACTACACTTCAGTTATGAATGAACACAGTGAGTGATCATTACTGATCACTCATTGTGTTCATTCATTCAGGAAAGGTCTGGTAAATGTGACATATTTACTGGTACCTTCCCCCACTCTCCATCCCGACGGATCCTATTGTGTGCTTGCAGGTGATGGTGGAAAGGAAAGGAAAGAAGGGGGGGGGGCCTGGGCAGCGGGGGAAACATATGGTGCACAAGAAGGGTGATGAAGGGCATTTACTGGAACTGATCCCCCTGTATGGCTCTCTCTGCAGCAGCTAAAGGAAAGCAGACAGGAGAGAGAGAAGTCAGCTTTCAGTTGCTGCAGAAAGAGCCATACAGGGGATCAGTTCTAGTAATTGCCCCTCCGCTGTTCTGATCACCCTCCCTGCCCACATCTGATCTGCCTGGGCCCCCTACAGGAGGACTGGTGGTACCCCCTTATCCGCTGCCCTGAGTGTGACATAAATAATACTGTGGCCTGCTGGTTGATAGCCACTGATCTGGAACTTACATGTGCCCCCAACCAACACTGTGCCCTGGGCAGCTGCCCCTTCTGCCCCCCCCCTTGCCCCAGCCCTGTTTTTTCCTTCAGATAATTCAGTTTCTTGCCTTGTGCACACTCCTGTATGTCTTATCAGCAACAATGGTTTAGCTGTTACTACTATTCTTTAGCTTTCAAACATTCCATATATCTTGAGAGTATTTATATAATCAAAAAGAGGCATTCAGGTTTGCTGCCTTGGGATATGATCAAAAAGATTTTCTCCGCTTCCAACAGAATCCCATGCAGAGCATAGCAGACCTGAGTCGTATTCCAAGGCAATGGAAATAAATAACTACTTAACGATCCAATCTGTGCCTACAGAATATCTTCCTGACTCTGTATCAGCTTTAAAGACCTCCTAAAAATGACACAGGATTACCATTGTAAAACGCCAATCACCATGAAATTCCATT